GCCACTCCTTATGCATGTTCAAATGCTGTGTCACAATGTCATGAACCACAGATTTTGGTAAATTTAACATCTGGGCAATTAAACGATTACTTAGTCGACGGTCTGAGTTCAAAACTTTGCGCACATGAGTCACATTGTCGGTGTTTGTCGAAGACGAAGGTCTTCCAGCACGGTCTTCATCAGCGACCTCTTCCCGGACCTCCAAAAATGCCTGGTGCCACCGAAACACACCACTTCTTGCTAAAGCAACACCTGGGTAAGCCTGCTTGATCATATCAAACATCTCTGTCACAGATTTACCGAGTTTCACACAGAATTTAATCGCGTACCTCTGCTCTAACTAACGCTGCATTTTCGGCTTGCACCACTCACAGAAACACGTCGCGCGAAAATGCCTGTCCTGACTCTTCAAGTGCTCGGAGACAACTGACCAGCCGCTCATTCGTTAGGTAGGAACCAAGTACAGTCATGGCGGAAGAAAATGAGTCCTATTACTTTCTGGACAAACCCTGTATATGTTTACATTGCATTTTTCGCCAAAATTGCTTAGTTTTAATGCATACTTTTGACCCAATTGACTACCAATGCGTACCAAAGTCACAGCGTTATATCAACACTATAATAATGCTTGAAATTTAGTCAAACTCAAGTTGAGTATTAATTATTAGCAATCTGACATCAAGTAGTTTTTACGTATGTCTGTCAAGTACTGGAAAATTCAAGTAGTGTTGATATTACTTGATAGTTTTTGTAATATAAATGCACAACGGAAAAAACTATTTGTCACCAGTTTTAGAGAAAGCAATACATATGGAATAAAATAATTTTTTCATCGTATAAAAAATAATAGAACGATAAAACTGTGAATTTTTTTTAAATTAGCTTTTTATTCACTTGCCACGAGTTAAGACATATGAGGATCCTTACGGATTCATAATCCTGGTAAAATTAAAAATAGTGGACGTGACAACTGACCGAATTTTGAACCACACTCCTATATCATAATTATTTTTAAGTTGTGCCCATTATCCAACATGACATTTTGTTACTACCATCAATAAAGATGTCACTACCATGAACAAAGGTCCCGATTACGTTCAATCTATGGTCGTGACTCATACAGTTTTCAACCGTGACATACCTAACGTCGAAAATATATTTGATCTGTATATATGGTTAGTTAATTTACATGATTTATGGCAAATCTTTTACAACATATACAACGTATAAGGGTAAGTAAATATAAATAATTACTCCAAATGTTGTAGCCGCGATACACACACTATGCCCACCATCTTAGTGAACTGTTTCGTTACCAGGCCTCAAACAAAAGCTAGTGTTGCCAAAGTCAAATAATAAAATCTACCTATTTTCTAAGCAACTAAAGAATGACCCATGGTCGTGACTAACTCCCATGTGATCAATAAAACGTGAAATGATACGTGTAACAGAGAGACTAGCCCAGAAAATAAGTTACTACACAATGGCACATGTTTTACTAGTCAAGGCGCGTCTTACCTTTATAGATAAGTTTATTGAAAATGTTTCTGTGAAAATAATAATAATAATGTTCATTGTCCAAACTATAAGCAGATAACTAGAAATGACATATTTTAGAACAATAAACATGGTAGAAAACCCGCAGAAGGCTAGCCTTGTACGCGGGTATGCATTAGCTTATGAATAATTACGTACTACTTAAACTAGAAATAAAAAGACGAGATTTTCTAAGAAAAAAAACAATAACAACATTAAATAGGATTTTAAAATGCATTATCTGACAAAGTGGGAGTATGGATGGCTTCATTTAATTATAAATCCTTTTCAAGGCGAAATGTCTCATTTAGGGCACAAGCCTATCTTAGGTTATTAGTGTTTTTGATTTATGTCTCTGTTTGGGGGATATATCGAGTATGTTGTCAAAATCGGTAAATAAGTATAGCAAGGGTATATTGCCTAAATCGGTAGTGTTGGGTATAGGGTATTTTGTCTAATTCGGTAACTGTATTCTAGTAATTGGTTTTGTTAAGCGTAATCTTTTTAAGCCAACGATTTCGTGAATTCTCTGTCTGGGCATAGATGTTATCCAGCCTTTTACTTTCCTTTTAAATGTGTGTTTGGAACGTATCATCGTCAGGTCTTGTGGAAGAAGATTGTAACATCTTGGTCCTAGGTAAGAATACGATCTGAGCATTATATTTTTTTCTGGTTTTGACACCTTTAAATGATGTCTGTATACTTCGTTTTTTATCCATTTTCTCTCTATCTTTATTCATCTTCAATTTTAATATTTCATGAATTACATGAAGATGTCAGTTTTTATCATAAATCTGTCAACCGATTGTGGACGATTTTACTAAATATGCTTATTTTTATCATACATTTTCAAATTTCCGATATGGATTATCCTACAGATTCTATGACCCATATTGTGAAAAAATTTTGTCGAATTGCTTTTGAGTGGGTGAACTATTTTATAGTGGAATGCCTGAGTGATTTTTTTTTACTAAAATTAGTGACGGACTGGAAATTTAAAAGAATATATATATATGTTTAATCCGTAGCAGATTAAGTTTAAGCTTGCTTCTGTGGGTTTTCTTTTTTTTACCATTCTTCATTTGTACACGCTTTCTTACTCATATTACCTAATGCTATTTTTGATAAATAAACTTTACTTCATTTGATTCAATTTATATTTAAACAAAGTTATATTTTAGTTGGTTATAGTCATTCATACTTATCTACTTTTAGAAGTAAATTGCAAATAGGAATTTTACATGCCGGAAACAATTTTTTCGCTGGAAATCAAGGCGACCCAGACTCTATGCAAACATTATGGAGATTCCTGCACTCACGACGCTACTGGCTCCATAACGATATTCCAAAATTATAGTTCCCATGTAGTCTGTCCCCATATCTCAGCATCGATCAATAGCAAAACGCTCTTAGATCAAATTCCGGAGTGGTATTTCGAGATGAAAATTTCACCCATTTAGAGCTGGCCCTTGCGCACAGGGAGCTTTATTTTATGTCCCAAATAAATTTGATTTACTCTCAGCTACGAGCATTGATTTCCCTTGCCTACCTGCATTGCCTTATATTGTACACAAACGCTGACATTTTACTATTTTCGGGGATCTTAAGATCAGTAGCGGAAGTACTATAACGTTTACAGGGAGCAATTTCTTTCGTGAAGATGGAACGACGCCATTCACGGTTGGTCAACTTAGCCCCAATTTTACTATCCGCGGATCAGAATTGACCAATCAGAAGCAAGGCGGTATTTAGTGCTCGAATGATGGATCAAATTTGATACAATACATAGATGAACAGCAATTGCTGAGCACTTTATTCAAAATAACATTGTCACTACGTACCTTAGAGAAATTTTCAAGTAAAGTTTGTCCGAAAAATACGTATAAGAGTGGAATAATAACTTTATTTTACAATTGTTCAGGTATTTCAATATGGTCTCCTTCAAACTACTCCCCCCTGCGACAAGATGCACTTCTGCCAAAGCCGTTTGCACTGTTGATACGGTCGCTGAAAGCCTTCAATTGTGAGGCTCTTCATTTGCTTTGTCGTTTCTGCCTTGATGACTTCCACATCCCCCAAGTGTCGCCCCCGAACCACCAGTTTGCATTTTCGGAACAGGAAGAAGTCGCAACGGGCTAAATCGGGTGAATAAGGCGGATGTTCTGCCACGGTGATTGAACTTCGGGCCAAAAACAATTTTTCATTTCAAGTTTTTCTGTCAGAATTTCGTGGACGATTCCTCAGCTATCATTCTGAGTGTCACTCGACGGTCTTTAAAATTTGTTCAACGTTTCCCTCAGAGCTTGATGTGGAGGGGCGTCCTGAGCGTTGGTCACTTGTTGACGGTTGGCTCCTTTTGAGAATTGTCTCTGTAAACTTGTTACAAACTCTCAAAAATCTCACGACCATTCTTGCCCAGCTTTGCAAGAAACTTGATCTTGAGTCCCTCGATCAGAGGCAGGTAAAAAAGTGTTACTTTCAACAAGCACACGTAAATCCTTCTTACTCTCAGAGCGCTCAGACTCGAACTGACCATAGAGGGGATTGCATAGAGAGGGGGAACCACCGGGCCACCCCTCCACAACGCACCGTATTTTCTGGACAAACCTCGTAGATACATGAACCACTGTTATCCGGCATGTTTGGTTGTCACAGCTTCTGGGTCTGGGCGATATTTATGCAAAAATAAATATTTGCGATAATCCTATCTATAATAAAGGTAATTTACTACGCACAATATTTCTTTATTTGAAGTCAGCTGTCCAGTGCTGACACATCAAATTGCTGAACGAAAAGTCATAAGGCTGAAATGGCGGTAGATTAAAAAAGTATTGATTGTATTGAATTCCATTTCGACACTTTTAGTTGGATTATATTCATCATCGTTTGCAAGGTTATCACTGCAACAGTCCGTTGTCTGTTGACAACGTGGTTCAACAGTTATTAGCCAGGAAAATTAACTCTGAACAACTGTTGAGCATATCACGGAAATCAAAAAAAAAGCATTCTAATTAATGTCTTAAAAGAATTTATTAAGTAGAGTTTTATAGTGCAATGACACAAAAATCAAATATCTAATTTGACTGACCTTATGCAAGCCTAAACCGAGAAAAATATGCTTATAGTGGGAGTTAACTATGGAATTGTTGAAATCGTCACCTTATCAACAACCGACATATTCTTTTTTCAAATTTCTAAGATATTTTTATTTATAGCTATACCTGGTGATTTATGAGGAGTTTCTTGATTTGATTGCACAAATGTCTAATTTGTCACTACTTTGAGAGGAATTTTAGACGAAATTGACTATATTCGTTAGATTCATTACCTCAAACATTCCCTCCAATTGGACATTGATCCCCATAGACCAATAGTAAAATCGGTCGTTAAGGTTTTTAAATCTCCTCAACGATTTTCTATGCTAAACATTCACCCACTGTTTCTTTGTACTTGATTCAAAAATATTCGATAGTATCTATTAATCTCTCTTTTTTTTCAGAAACTGCAAACAATAGCAGAAGACTTTTGTGGATTGGATGTGAACACGCCTTTGGGAGGGGAACAACCAGTATCAGCAGTACCAGTACTACTTTTCAGCGTCCGTTTGACAGCTGTGGTAGCGACATCTACTGGCGATTTTACTGTGGTGTTTATTGGTACTGCTACTGGTCATTTGAAAAAGGTAAGGGAATGGTTGCCTAACTACGGGTACAAAATACCTTTTTGATAGTAATTATATAACGTACCACTATCGAGCGTTCTCACAAGTTTAGAAGATATCAAAGAAGGCAAAATGATTGGAAATTGTGTAAATAAGGGGAAACCCGTGAGATGTCGATTTCAACGTAATTGAAACCATTGAAAATCCGCCCAAAAACTCGGCATCTTAGCGTTATAAAGGTTGCTTTGTGTGTGATAAATTTGTTTGCTGAGTTCACACCGAAACCTGTCAATTTAACTTTGTCTACATCATGGTTGATTTTAATGTATGTACGGTATCTTGCCATAAATTATTTCAGACGTGCAAAAAAACACAGTGTATACTCTTGAAAAAACACCTCACGTATATGTAAATCATTCTTTACGACCTTGCGATAGAAACCTCCCTAGAAATATGCCCAAGTCCAGGTAATAAAATAAAAATGCCCTAAAATCCTCTTTTAATGGTATTTGACAGAGACGGACTAGCAAAATTATTGAATTCGGAAAATGACTAAGTACAGAACAATCAAGCAAGTTCATCACGCAACTGCATCTGTGATCCGTATATCAAATTGCGATTTCATCAGATCTTTTCAAAATTCATCCTGCATACTAGCTATCAGTTGCTTGTTCTATAATGTGTTTGTTGCATTCTGGCTCATGGACAGCATCTCGCACATCGAAATCAATTATGAAATGGAACTAAACTTGTACAGATGCCTGTTGTCGGGCAGACCATACTCAATATAGTGTCCTACGAGTCGGCAACCCACAAGCTATGCTAGCGAAGTGCGGGTTGCAGTAGTATCGGTTCGTTCAGAATCGACTTTACTCTATGCTTTTTCTATATCAAGGGCCTCGTTACACTACTATCCACATTACCTGCATTGTAAATCATGACGCAAAGTTGTCTCGATCCATAAAAAACATTTTCAGCATTTTTCGGCACCAATTCGTATGACGAGTCTTCTGCTCTTCAGTCAGACTATGCGGTATCCAGAGAGAACAAAATTTCCCTACGTGTAAATGGTCAAGCAGAATTGAATGAATTGCTGGTTCATGAAGGTGTAAGGTCTCCTCTGTCTGTTGACATGTCACTCTCCGGTCTTCGTTAAGCATTTTTCTCACAGCAGTAATGTTTTGCTCTGTTATTGACGTTCGCGGCCTTCCTTTACTCCCAGAGTGAAATTGCCCCTTTGAAATTCCCTATACCACCTGAATATAGTCGTACGATGAGGACAATCATTCTTTAATGTAAGAGTCCTTCCTTCTAAGCACTGGTCTATGCTTAAACCACGCATAGAGTTATACCATGCACTCATGGACATGTCTCAACGTGCTGTAACATGCAGCTTCTTACGTTCGTTTGTTAGGTCATATTGCAAAACTTTTATAGTACGCTTTGTACTACTCGTGAATAAAGGATTCAAAATGCAGATAGCATAAATTTGTACTGAAATGATGGAATCTACTTTCAAAAAGAGAGTAAGGGCCAATTTCACCAACATTAATATTTGACGGTCAGTTGGACCAATAGGAAAATACCTTATCGAAATGCAATTAGACGGAAGCTGTCAAAGCTCTCTGAATATGAATAAAGTCGTGAAAAAACGGTAAGGGTACATGATAGATGTAATATCATGTCTTTGTGCTTTAGAATTAGGATAACTTTCATAGAATTTCAAGTTTTTATCATTTCAGAAAAGACAGTCAGTTATTTAAATGGACCAATGAAAATTTATTTTTTTCTTTATTTATTCGAATTCAAAAACCAATATAAATGACAAATTGAAAACAACCTTCAGTACAGTTTAAATAAAAAACAGTTTCAAAAATACATGAGCTTGTATGCTCTTGCTACCCTGAATAACCAAGATTGCAACAGAAATCTAAGCAAAGATACAAGCATCAGATGTAGAACAAGCAAGTAACGGTATATGATAAAATTGTGAAAATTCTGTATACTTTCGTAAAGGGTAAGTGTCTGAATCTTGTCGTCACAACTGATAAATTACGTGTCTAAATAAACAAATCTAAAATTTATAACAATAGTACAGAAGCATACTAAAACACTCAGAAGTATAAATATAGAGTACATAAAATATGAATATCTGAGATAATATAATAATATAGGAATATTTCGAGTAAGGTCAAACTATGTTGTTTAAACGATAAAAATTTTGCGTAAAGGTTAAGCAGAGAAACAAGAGTACTACAACTTACTACATGGCTAATGATCATAAAGTATATTATGAGCAAAAAAGAAATAAAAAACAATAGATAGAAACAAAATGACTGAGTTGAGTCAAGCTACAGTCGATGCAAGCATGTCAAAGTTATTCAAGACGAACTTCTTAATTATTTTTTGACACTATACCTCGAGAGGATTTTATATTCTAGGGGTAATTTATTATACAACCTAATATCATCAAACTTTATGCATTTTTGGCAAGCAGATTTATTCACTCTGGTATAAGAGTAACTTATATTTATTTTTTTTATAAATGATAGAAATAATAGGTCGATTTTCTAGCTATTGTATTTGGTAGGATGTTTTCACTGTTTTTGACGACGAGAAAAGTAATCTGAAATTAGTCACTCTTTTTGACACAGTCCGGATCGAAAGATGACGATACTCGTGAAATGTATCGATACACCCAAGTATCTTATATAAAAATATCGTTCCAAAATATCGGGTATGGGAAGCAAAAGTATCGATACTGCTAAATATAGGATCGTTTCGAACATCCCTACTGTAACCGAGGTACCAACGGAGCTATTTTGCGGCATTTGTTCAAGTGTTGTGCAAAAAAATCCACGTATACGAGTAGTCTTATAAAGCATAGTAGAGTATATTTCAACAGTTGGCGGAGCTTACTCCAGTGGGACCAAGGCTTGACGGATCCCACACATGTGTCACTCGTTGGGGAGTTTTGAAATGTAATAATCAGCTGTTATTCAAATAATGTCTAACATAAATATAACCTAGAATGTGTACTCAGTGAAACAAGAAAGTTATTGGAAATTCTATTTTTTGCAGGTTTTAAGTTTGCCGGTAGCTTTACGACATATATTTGAGTATTTCTTAATCGCTGTGAATATAGTGTGGATGTTTGATTAGTTCCTGAACAACCAAAAAATATTTGACTATGGATGTATGGATATCAAAAATCCTGAATGGTTTTGTGGGAATATCAATCGACGGTGCTATAATGGTACTGATGAACGGCAAGTAAATGAATGAATGTTTGGACGAGCAATATCTATAAATTTTTTTTTCTTTGATGGTTATCTGCAATAGGTTTATAGGAAAAGAACACACGGTAGGTGATGTTGAATCAGTAAAATCGCATGTCAATTGAAGAAAATAATATAACCATGAATAAACAATCGACAATATTAAATAAAAGAGGCTTGAAGCTCATTCGCTGTATTTGACGGACTGTTACCCTATAGGTGGAGAACAACGGACTGTTGATTTGACAATCCTGGTGAACTCCACCCTAAGAGCTTTATTCTGAGTCCAAAGGGCCTGGCACCAGAGGTATCTGGCAGCACCGATTCTATCGTGTAAATTTGAACTCGATAGAAGACAATCGTATTGCCTCTGTTGTTTCTATTATCATTTTATTAGAATCCTTGGGCACGTAATAGATTCCTGATGCTCCTAAAATTAAGATAACGCGAAATCGTATCCTGTCGGTATCCTGGGTTTCGTCTCTGGGAATTCACTCGGATGAAGGTAGGGAGAAGGGAAGGAATGAAGGGCGTTCCCACCCCCTCACCAACCCTTTTTCATGAGAATTAGAAAACAGAGGCGGAATGCCTAATGTACTACACGGTCACGAACAGAATGAGAAAAAATTTAGGGTTCTTCTGGCCTGACCGCACTTTGTAATTCGCCGTTTCGTTTTTTCTGCTTTGGGAAGGAAGGCAACATTATTCGATCTCTGTTATATTGATTTTGTTATCGTGGAACGTTTTCTTCTTGCCCTGATGCAACTAAATACGTATACGAAAATGTATATTTTTCACACTAAGAACCGGGAAAGTAAAGCCTAAGTGCCAAAGTACAACGATTGCGACCTTGCTCGTACGGGTTTTGAAAGTTTGTAGATTTGCAATAGAATGGAGCTTTTTGCTTCTCACGCTAATTGGTGAGGAAGTGTCGCAACTGGAAAAATTAGATATGTCTTTGGATGTTACATGACGTGTATGTATACTAAGTGACATATAAATCCGAACACCCAGTTTAAATGGTTTTATTTTAATAAAAATTGGTGAATGTATTTATCTTACTGTAAATAACAAGTGAAAAAATTTTCAGCCTTATCAGTTGGACATTCCGGTTTTTATACTGCTTTTTTTAATTCACTAACGCTCTAAAAATGAATATTTCAGCCGCAGTAAAGAATCAACGTTGGCGGATTTTGGTTCTTGACATCCTTTACGATCGGTTACGATGCCTAGAGTACGGAGACCTGTACGATTTCGTCAACTTAGTGAGTTTGATAGGGGCCGTATAGTGCAGTTAGAGTGCAAAGAAGTGTAGACACTGTGGTTAGGTGTTGTCAGGCATGGCTTCGAGAAGGCCGTACGCAAAGAGCAAAGGCCACTGGACGCCGCCGTAGAACAACAGACCGTGAAGATCGCCGCCTAAGATTATTGGCCTTAAGTGACCGTTTCTCCACTACCAGGTCCATTGCAAATGAATGGTTTGCAGAACACGGAAGACCTATTGGCATGCGAAGTGTTTACCGACGAATGAGAAGTTTTGGCTTGTTTTCATACCGGCCACACTGGGTCCTCTCTTTAACTCGAGAACACCGACGTAATCGCCTTGAGTGGTGCAGACAACGGTCACTCTGGGATCAGGAATGGAACAGTATTGTCTTTAGTGACGAGTCTCGATTTTGTTTAAGCATGCACGATGGTCGTGCCAGGGTTAGAAGGCGACGTGGTGAAAGGAGGAATCCACAG